TTACGGATGATATTGGTCGCGAAAGCCTCCTTAGCTTATCGCTTCTTCTTTCGGAAGCGACCCGGCCACAAATGATAGCTCAACTCAGTGGCCTAGCGTGTGGAAATCCTACAGCAGACAAATAATCTAAACCAGTGGCTATTGACCTTTACTGCAGTCTTGCACCCCTTTGGTTCTCGATGATAAAAATAAATATATATCATACACAATGAATACATACAGTGAGGGAAAAAAAGTATTTGATCCCCTGCTGATTTTGTACGTTTGCCCACTGACAAAGAAATGATCAGTCTATAATTTTAATGGTAGGTTTATTTGAACAGTGAGAGACAGAAAAACAACAACAAAATCCAGAAAAACGCATGTCAAAAATGTTATAAATTGATTTGCATTTTAATGAGGTAAATAAGTATTTGACCCCTCTGCAAAACATGACTTAGTACTTGGTGGCAAACCCTTGTTGGCAATCACAGAGGTCAGACGTTTCTTGTAGTTGGCTACCAGGTTTGCACACATCTCAGGAGGGATTTTGTCCCACTCCTCTTTGCAGATCTTCTCCAAGTCATAAAGGTTTCGAGGCTGACGTTTGGCAACTCGAACCTTCAGCTCCCTCCACAGATTTTCTATGGGATTAAGGTCTGGAGACTGGCTAGGCCACTCCAGGACCTTAATGTGCTTCTTCTTGAGCCACTCTTTTGTTGCCTTGGCCGTGTGTTTTGGGTCATTGTCATGCTGGAATACCCATCCACGACCCATTTTCAATGCCCTGGCTGAGGGAAAGAGGTTCTCACCCAATATTTGACGGTACATGGCCCCGTCCATCGTCCCTTTGATGCGGTGAAGTTGTCCTGTCCCCTTAGCAGAAAACCACCCCCAAAGCATAATGTTTCCAACTCCATGTTTGACGGTGGGGATGGTGTTCTTGGGGTCATAGGCAGCATTCCTCCTCCTCCAAACACGGCGAGTTGAGATGATGCCAAAGAGCTCCATTTTGGTCTCATCTGACCACAACACTTTCACCCAGTTGTCCTCTGAATCATTCAGATGTTCATTGGCAAACTTCAGACGGGCATGTATATGTGCTTTCTTGAGCAGGGGGACCTTGCGGGCGCTGCAGGATTTCAGTCCTTCACGCCGTTTTGTGTTACCAATTGTTTTCTTGGTGACTATGGTCTCAGCTGCCTTGAGATCATTGACAAGATCCTCCCGTGTAGTTCTGGGCTGATTCCTCACCATTCTCATGATCATTGCAACTTCACGAGATGAGATCTTGCATGGAGCCCCAGGCCGAGGGAGATTGACAGTTCTTTTGTGTTTCTTCCATTTGCGAATAATCGCACCAACTGTTGCCACCTTCTCACCAAGCTGCTTGGCAATGGTCTTGTAACCCATTCCAGCCTTGTGTAGGTCTACAATCTTGTCCCTGACATCCTTGGAGAGCTCTTTGGTCTTGGCCATGGTGGAGAGTTTGGAATCTGATTGATTGATTGCTTCTGTGGACAGGTGTCTTTTATACAGGTGTAGTGGGTTCCAGGACACGGAGACGGCAGAATAGAAGCAGCACTATTTATTTAAACCTTAACAAGGGTTACACTAGAAGGGGTAGCGGCCCCTCCACCCGTATAACTCAGGAACACACCCCAGGCTCTCTAGCCTAAGCTCTAGGCTCCCAGTTCCTCCTGGTAGGGCTCTAAGGGAGGCTATCAGATCCGGCCCTGGTTAGGCACAGATCTCGGCACCCCGCCGACCAGACCGGCCCTTAGAAGGACTCTGACTCTGGGGCTCTGGGGCCGCATCACTGGCTTGCTGTGCCGGCCCTGAAAAGGGCAGCGGTCACAGGAGTTCCAGGGTCTCACCTAGCTGGCCTTCTTTTTTCACTGGTTGCTTCAGCCTCGGGCCCCACACTCTGCTCCGAGCTCCCTGGCTCCCCGCACTTTATACCCACTGGAGCCTTAGCGGACGTTGTTGTAGCCACCAAGGTGTGGGTGAACCACACCTTCCCGTGCCATGTGTTTATTCCCCATAGCACCCCTACATCGGTAACAAGCTGAGATTAGGAGCATTCCCTTTAAGAGTGTGCTCATAATCTCAGCTCGTTACCTGTATAAAAGACACCTGGGAGCCAGAAATCTTTCTGATTGAGAGGGGGTCAAATACTTATTTCCCTCATTAAAATGCAAATCATTTTATAACATTTTTGACATGCGTTTTTCTGGATTTTTTTTGTTGTTTTTCTGTCTCTCACTATTCAAATAAACCTACCATTAAAATTATAGACTGATCATTTCTTTGTCAGTGGGCAAACGTACAAAATCAGCAGGGGATCAAATACTTTTTTCCCTCACTGTAGGGCTTGATGAAACAAAGTAGTTGTATTCTTGGTTCTTTCGGTAAAGTCACGAAAGAACCAAGAATATGAATCCCTGCAGTCACGAAAGCTTTAAATCAAAAGTAGTTGTACTTACGTGCCCCGAGCTGAATTTGTGTTTCGATGATCTACCTTCTAAAAAAATGTGTCCATGTCTCGCACCCCCAGAAAGGGCATCTCGCACCCCCAAGGGAGTGTGTGTGCACCCCCAGGTTAAGAAATGTGTCCATGTCTAGCACCCCCAGGGGTGTGTGTGCACCCCCAGGTTAAGAAATGTGTCCACGTCTCGCACCCCCAGGGGAGTGTGTGCACCCCCAGGTTTAAGAAATGTGTCCATGTCTCGCACCCCCAAGGGAGTGTGTGTGCACCCCCAGGTTAAGAAGCACTGCTAGTCTAGCGTATGGCAAGTTTGTGGGACTCACGCGTCCAATTTTAAGTCTGTGAGCCATGCGATGGCTTTGGGAGTCGCGCGACCAATACTGCTCATATTCTTGTTTTTTTCGGTAAAGTCACGTAGAACGGAATCGATAAAATAATACAAATATAAAACAATATATTTTTTTATTATTTTATTGTTTCCCTTCTACGTTACTTTACCGAAATAACCAAGAATATTAATCCCTGCAGTCACGAAAGCTTTGGAATCAAAATTTAATACTGCTCAGTCCGTCGGAGAGCCAGGCTTAGGGTGCAGTTGGTTCGCGATATGGTGGCTCCATTGTCTGGTTCGGGTTGCCGCAGTCACACTGTGTGGGTTGTAAGAATAGGTTTTACCCTTTCTGTCAATAAAACAGGAGGTGTTATGATGTTTTAACACCTTTTGCAAGGAATCAAGTTCTGCATTAACCACACACGGTGCATGTGGGGAACATGCAAACAAAACATCCTCTGATAATAATAATAATATATGCATTGTCTTTGGAACGTATTGGCCTACGTTAAAGAGACAGTCTTCTTTATGGGATAGCCTCACCAGTCTAAGACCAGAGAAAGCCAAAAGTCGAACAGTACAAAGCAAAAAAAGGTCCCATGACATGTGTGGGTTGTTTGTAATTCTCCACTTGTGTAGGGAGGAGGCATGTGTGTGCGCGGCAGTCACCAGTTTCCCTATTTATCCGAATCGTTTCAAGGAGCCACCGTAGTTTTCTAGGCAGAGCAAAGCTGTGTGGGGCAGTGGCGGGGTGGTCGATGAATCTCCACGAGCCACCGGTGCCAGGCGTTGATGTTCAGCAACGCGCGGGCGCTGCGCAGCAGCAGCAGCAGCAGCTTTCACTCACAAGCAGGCCAGCAGCTTGTATCAGCGGCGTAAAGTTCCAAGTTACTTTTATTTAGGTTTTTTTTTTTTTACCAAGTATCAACTTGGTAACGCTGAGCACAGGTCTCTTGTCACGTTCACGTGTGAGAACATGTTAGGCGCGGTGTGTTTATTGATTTGTTTGTTTATTTAAATTAAGCAAGCAAGTAAGCAGAATTGGACCACCGTGTGGTTTGTTTTTGCGCACGCATGTCAATCAATTCATCAATTACTACCGGTTCAATCAATCCATACATTCCCACCTGTTCAATCAATTCATCAATTCCAACCGATTCAATAAAATCATCAATTCCCACAGGTTCAATCAATTAATCATTTCCCACAGGTTATATCAATTAATCAATTCCCATCGTTCAATAAATTAATCAATTCCCACCGGTTCAATCAATCTATCCATTCCCACACGTTCAATAAATGCATCAATTCCCACAGGTTCAATAAATTCATAAATTCCCACAGGTTCAATCAATTAATCAATTCCAACAGGTTCAATCAATTAATCAATTCCCATCAGTTCAATCAGCTCATCAATTCCTACCGGTTCAATCAAATCATCATTTCCCACAGGTTCAATATATTCATCAATTCCCACAGGTTCAATCAATTCATCAATTCCAACAGGTTCAATCAATTAATCAATTCCCACCTGTTCAATGTATTCATCAATTCCCACAGGTTCAATACAATTAATCAATTCCCGCCAGTTCAATCAATTCATCAATTCCCAAGGTTCAGTAAATTAATCAATTCCCACAGGTGCAATTAATTAATCAATTCCCACCAGTTCAATTCCCACGGTTCGATAAATTAATCAATTCCCACCGGTTCAATTAATTCATCAATTCCCACCGGTTCATTCAAATACTCAATTCCCACAGGTTCAATCAATTCATCAATTGTCACAGATTCAATCAATTCATAAATTCCCCCTGGAGAGGGTCACCGGTCCCAGCCTTTGGGAAAAGCGGAAAATCGATTCTAAAATGGTTATCGGTTCAACCGGCTTTTGTTGAACAACCTTACACCAGACAAAGATCCCCCCGTATAGCATTAATAGACTGTTGGGGCAAATGCTGTTAGCGAGCACCTATGAAGACCGGCACAAAACACGAGGGCTAGGCCCATGACCGGTTCAGATAATCGTCACTGGGTATTCGCCGTGAGCGGGAATCGACCTCGGGTCGTTGATTTCGTGGCGCAGCGCTAACAGCTACACCACCGCTCGTCACTAGCCAAGTGATATGCAGGTGCGAGCACACACACACACTAAACAACAACAACAACACTTGCTCCGGCGTGTGTGTCTGTGCGTGTCAGGGCGGCATTCGAAATCGACACCCGCGGTGGCATCGAGCCACCAAAAGCACACCACCGACACGAGCGACCCTCTGAGCCCACCCCATCGCTGCACAGCGAGAGACAGAAAGAGAGAGATACAAAAAAAAATCGATGGCCACACATTTGTGGCCTCTGTGACCCCGCATGGCACAGTGGGGACGGAGGAGTTAGTGGGGGGGAGGGGCGGGGTTTGGTGTAGCGGCCTCTGTGATGATCAACGCAAGAAAGGGGCCGTCCTTGAGGGGTGGCCAGGCAGGCGGTATCGGGGTTACCGCGCTGCTATAATAGTGAGCGCCGTGCCACCGTCCCGCGCTCATCACCCGTGCCAAGCTCATCATCACCCCGTGTCACTGTCATCAACCCGTGTCACGCTCATCACCCGTGCCACCCTCATCATCACCCCGTGCCACCCTCATCATCAACCCGTGTCACTGTCATCAACCCGTGTCACCCTCATAACCCGTGTCACGCTCATCACCCGTGCCACCCTCATCATCACCCCGTGCCACCCTCATCATCACCCCGTGCCACGCTCATCACCCCGTGCCACCCTCCTCAACCGCGCCACGCTCATCAAACCGTGCCATCCTCATCATCACCCGTGCAAACCCTCATCACCCGCCGTGCCAGGCTCATCAACCCGTGCCACCGCGTCCGTTCTGTGGGGAGCGGCATGGAGGTCGCCGAGCGAGGCCTGGAGGCGCCCCTGCCGCTGCTGCTCAGCGACTCGAGTGGCCACTTCTACGTAGTGCCCGAGACGGCACGCATCGTGGCCGCCATCGACAAGCCCGTGGTGGTCGTGGCCGTGGTGGGGAAGATCCGCACGGGCAAGTCGTTCCTCATGAACCGCCTCGCCGGGTCCAACTCAGGTGCGTGCCCTGCAGGGTCGCCACTCTCGCCATGCACACTCCCCCACCCCCCCCCTGCCCACCCGTCTCCTGTCGTTTTCGGCATCGGCAGAACGAGAAAAAAAAATGTAATTTGCAAGCAATGCGATTTTTGTTGTTGTTATTGACTTCAATTTCATACCGATTGTGCCATCATCGGTGTCGTCACGTGAGTACGAAAGAGCCCACTCGAAGCCCGCACAGGGCATGGCAGGGCGACCCTTTGTGTTCGAGATTTGGCCCAGAGCTACTTCTGGCGTTGATTCTCGTGATGCCAGGCTCTCCCGCACTGCAGCTGAAGGCAACGTCCGGCGCGTGACAGTGGTGCAATGCGATACTGAAAGAAAAAAAAATCCATACATTGCGATACAGATGTACTTCATTCTAGCGGACACAAACCTCAGACGCGTGGGCTGAGACATCTCTGCCCTCAACGAATTCAACACAGGAAGCGACCACAAGCTGGTGCGATGCGAGTCGCAACTTCCAACACAGCCACGGAGAGACAGAGAGAGAGAGAGAGGGCTCAACTAATTGCGGGCAAAAACAGGAAAAGTTAATCTGAATTAACCTCCGAACAATATTTGAGCTGGAAGGCTCAAATATTAATTGTTGTAGATTAACACCAGGTCCTCCCGTTTCAGTAGCAAATAACCGAAAGCTTACTGGGATCGTTGGAATCTCGCCTGCCTCTGAAGATATTTCCCTGGCGCGCGCACAAAAATAAATCGTGCGGGAGTTTTGCGATGGGATGGTGTAGAGTTTGGAAGGTAAAAGACACTGAAGCGAAGCAAACCGGTACCGGTTGCGGCGTTTTTTTGGTTTTTGCTGCTGCTGCGTGTCTGTTTCTGCAAAAGCTCTGCCGCATTTCACGGCCACATTCTCCCAGCGCTTGTGAAAGAGCTGGGGGCCGGCCAAAATAGCTTTCTAAAGAGGGCCACGCCACATAAATCACGCGCGGTCGGCGCATAATTGGGAGTCGCTTGCTCCGCTTTGCCACCGTCGCAAGCACGTGCGCGCGGACCGCTCTCGCTCGCTCGCTCTCGCCAGCCCGTCCGTCCGCTCCCCTTTCCTCCTCCTCCTCTGCCCCCGAAACCCGGCGCAGTAGCAGCAGCCGCCGCCGTCACGGTCACGACGTGATTTACCGTGTCGCCCACACCCTCGGGCGCCGTGAACGTCTTGCGGTGCCACCTTACCGGGTTACGCTGGGGGAGGGATGTGAGGGTGGGGGGTTGTTAGGGTGCGGGTTGTCTTACGTGGAAACTGGACACCCGTTCCGCTTTCCACGCGGACGATAGTCCAGCTTTGGTTGCACAACACCTGAAGTCGAACGTCTGCCGGCGAAACGCGGAGTTCAAACAAAATTGTCAACTTTTATTTTGGACTGGCGTTTTCAACACACCTCCTCCTCCACTCCTCCTCTCCTCCCGATCGAGATGATGGTGGCAGGGTTTAACGACGCATTCATGTTGACGCGATCTAACCCAAAAAAACCCTCTCATGAATGATATCGCTCGCGAAAGCCTGCCGTGCATTAAATAAACCAAATCATTCGGAATGTTTACCCGCGTGACGCGACAATTGTGGTTTCATTGGCTCTGTTGGGTCGTGGAGGGTTATACATAAATAACAATTGATATAATACCCGCACCTCCGATTAGCACGGTTGGCTACGTACGGTGCGACATAAGTTCAACATATATACATAAACTAATTACGAATCACGGAAATGATTAGCTGCACCTTTATGAGCATTGCGGCATGCGTTAGGGCTAATTTTCTCTTTATAGCCCGAGCTGACGCCAGTGATGGACGTTCCACATTCATCAGGCGTGTAAGAGAATATATGCAAAGGCCAAACCACTGTTGACTTGTTCGCAAAGTCTTTATTGTATAAGCTCCACCCACTCTACCCATGTGCCTATCTGGCCTTAACCGCTCATAGATTATTGGCTTCATACAACAGACATTGGATATACGCACACCCGTTGTGTGAGTGTGTGTCAGTGTGTATGTGTGTACGGTTGGCAGCGGTGGTGTAGTGGTTATCGCGTTGCGCTTTGAACCCGGCGACCCTAGTTCGATTCCCGCTCACGGGCAACACCAGTGACGATTATCTAAATCGGCCCTGGGTCTCCCCTAGGTCGACTCAGCAGCCTCAAATGAGTACCGGGTGCGATGTGTAAACATCGTCACTGGGGAAACAAAGGCGGCCGGGGGTAGTGCTGGCCACCCACCCCGTCGGGTGACGTGTCGGCCTCCAAAGTTGCTAACTGACAGCACTTGCCCCAACATTCTGTTAAGGCTATACGGGGGATCTTTGTCTTTGGGACGCAGCAAGTCAGCGCGCTGCCCTACGAGCCCGGCGACCTGAGTTCGATTCCCGCTCACGACCAACAACAGTGGCAAATATCTGGGCCTTCCCTTGGTCGACTCAGCCTGAAGTGATGGGTAAACTGGGGAGACAAAGGTGGCAAGGGGCGTGGTGCTGGCCACCCATCCCCATCGTGTGCCGTACCGGCCTTCATAGGTGCTACTCGAGAACAGCAAGGCTATACGAGGGGGTGGGGGGTGATGTTTGTTTCTGGATAGTTCCCATGGAAATCGCGTAACGTATGAATGTAGAAGTTCCCAGTGTTGAACCTTATTAGCCCTCCACCAGCAGCAGCAGCAGAAGCAGCGGCAACAGCAGCTCCACGTGCGCTCACTGCCCCACGTTGCCCCTGAGCGGTGACATCCCAGTAATAGGACCCCCTTCTGAGAAGTGCCGGGTGCCTGTTTTTTCGGAGAAGCGCCCGCTCTGTGCGGCACGTTGTCGCATACCGGCCACGTTTACCACCCATCGTCATCACCGCCACTGACTGACTCTGTGTGTACCCACTTACGCTGCTTGAAGGAGGCCAGACTCAGCACTACCCATAGACTCAACACTGCCCATAGACTCAACACTGCCCATAGACTCAACACTGCCCATAGACTCAACACTGTCCACAGATTAACACGTAGGCTTTCGCGACCAATATTATTCATAATAAAGGTTTTTTTTGGGTTAGATCGCGTTTATTTATAAATGTGTCGTAACCCTCCACCACCCGACACGGCCAATCAGTAAAAAAAAGTGTCACGTTGACAAAAGACAAATAATTCACTACTTCAGCCCACCGGTGTGTTGAAGAGTTAATCCACATTTACAGTTTGAGTACGACGTTTCGCTGGTAAATACTTCCAGCATCATCGGGCAATTCGCCAGAATGGTAAAGCCCTCGCTTGCTCCCGGTTTTATATAGAGCAGCAGGGTGACGTCATCATTTAACTCATCAGGTGCAGTGATTAGAGGCGGAGGGGGGGTAATGTAATTATATAATCGATTAGTAATCAGTCATTGGTTATGATTAGTAATGAGTTGTAGATTAGTAATTATTTAAATCAAAATGTAATGTGTATTATTTAATAATACGCTTCCAGGCCGCACTAAGCCGGTAGCTGTCAGAGCGATTAAAGTTATTCTTGTTCCTCTCAATTTCAATGGATTCTCTAATTAGTCTTTGCCAGTAATAATTCGTTTTACATTATGGACTGTCCACAGACTCAACATTGCCCCCAGACTCAACACTGCCCATCGACTCAACACTGCCCACAGACTCAACACTGCCCATAGACTCAACATTGCCCACAGACTCAACACTGCCCATAGACTCAACACTGTCCGCAGATTCAACATTGCCCACAGACTCAACACTGCCCATCGACTCAACACTGTCCACAGACTCAACACTGCCCATAGACTCAACACTGCCCCTAGACTCAACACTGCCCAGACTCAACAATGTCCACTGACTCAACACTGCCCATAGACTCAACACTGCTCATAGACTCAACACTGCCCACAGACTCAACACAGCCCACAGATTCAACACTGCCCACAGACTCAACACTGCCCATAGACTCAACACTGCTCATAGACTCAACACTACCCACAGACTCAACACTACCCATAGACTCAACACTGTCCACTGACTCAACACTGCCCATACACTCAACACTGCTCATAGACTCAACACTGCCCACAGACTCAACACTGCCCATAGACTCAACACTGCCCATAGACTCAACACTGCCCATAGACTCAACACTGCCCACAGACTCAACACTGTCCACTGACTCAACACTGCCCATAGACTCAACACTGCTCATAGACTCAACACTGCCCACAGACTCAACACTGCCCACAGACTCAACACTGCCCACAGACTCAACACTGCTCATAGACTCAACACTACCCACAGACTCAACAATACCCATAAACTTAACACTGTCCACTGACTCAACACTGCCCATAGACTCAACACTGCCCATAGACTCAACACTGCCCATAGACTCAACACTGCCCATAGACTCAACACTGCCCATAGACTCAACACTGCCCATAGACTCAACACTGCCCATAGACTCAACACTGCCCATAGACTCAACACTGCCCATAGACTCAACACTGCCCACAGACTCAACACTGCCCATAGACTCAACACTGCCCAAAGACTCAACACTGCCCATAGACTCAACACTGTCCACTGACTCAACACTGCCCATAGACTCAACACTGCTCATAGACTCAACACTGCCCACAGACTCAACACTGCCCACAGACTCAACACTGCCCACAGACTCAACACTGCCCACAGACTCAACACTGCTCATAGACTCAACACTACCCACTGACTCAACACTGCCCATAGACTCAACACTGCCCATAGACTCAACACTGCCCATAGACTCAACACTACCCACAGACTCAACACTGCCCATAGACTCAACACTGTCCACTGACTCAACACTGCCCATAGACTCAACACTGCCCATAGACTCAACACTGCCCATAGACTCAACACTGCCCACAGACTCAACACTGTCCACTGACTCAACACTGCCCATAGACTCAACACTGCTCAAAGACTCAACACTGCCCACAGACTCAACACTGC